GAAAATACGACGACTGGCCGATGTTCCTTCGAAGGGGGTCACTCTTACCAAGCTCGAACAAAGAAATCGTCGTTCGTAAAGTTTCGCGTTTACTTTTCTCTTACTTCTTATCTTCTTCTACGCAATTGCGAATATACGGTATATATATATATATATATAGTATATAGCGGAGGAACTTTGATTTCACGCGATCACGTGAACAAAGCGTTATTGATTGATTGACTCGTCGATGACGAATATATAATTCAAACATTTCGCATCTGTGCAAATCGATCGTATTTTCATGTCCGTTTATTACACCTCGTTTTATTAGTGTTGCGTGCGTCAGAACGAAACGATATGGCGGCTTCGGAACAACGGCTTATTTTATCTTGGAATATTCAAAGGTAACGTATCTCAGGTGTTCCCCGTTCAACCACCTGCACACTAAATATAAACGATAGAATTTAGACCTGTTTACAAAACGTATATTATATCCCGAAAAATCGTCGAGACCGCTCGTTAATAGATATACTCAGAATCTTATCTTCGTTTCTCCTTATATTCGAATCGGTTCCGAGACGGATTTCTCCCGTTCCTTCCAGGCGTTCGTCGATAGTGAAATCGTCAATGACGCGATGGTATCGTGAGCACGATATATACGTATATATATATATATATATGTATACACGAATGTCCGCGAATAGTTGACCGTAGAGGCGTGCGTCGATTTTCTCTTTGGCAGACAGCTCTATTGACACTCAGGGCGCATCCAATGCTCGCGTGTGCGCGCAACGGATTTAAACTTGCCCGCTTCTAATTACGCGCCGATATTTCCTAATCGGAGCACAGTTTCACCGGCGCCAACCGGCGACCAGAGCCCCGAGTTGGCTGCCTGCTCGTCCGCTCACGCGCGCCAAAAAGCAGCGCGCGGCCAGAAAGCGCGATAAACGTGGATCGTGGTTCGACACCGGTTTCACCCTTGAGATCACGCTCGTTCACCGACCGACCGACCGACCGCTCGCGCCGCTTGTGCACCAGCCTTAAGGGAGAACAAACTGGGCTGGGGGGAGGCGGAGGGGGGAGGAGGGAGAAGGGGGAAGGGGGGGGGACTGGTTTTCTTCGTCCGAAGGATAGTTTTCAGGCGTCGTCGGTCCGGCGCGTTGGAATGGGCAAAAATGAGGAGACAGGAGAGGGAGGGAGGGAGGGAGAGACAAGGAGCACGGTTGATTTTTTACCTTCGTGGCGACCTTGCCAGCCGAGCAAGGATCCTCGCGCTTATTGACCCCGACCAACCATTCTCCTCTTTGAGCCTCCTCTCGTTCTGCGTTCCGCGAGCGCATCCGAGTTGCTCCCGCAGCCCGCTCCCCCTCCCTCCCGCCCGCCTATCTTCGTCTTCAGCTGATGCTTTCGAGAGGTAAACATCCTTCGGAAACGAGTATGGCTTCTTCTTATTCGGTTCCAAGTCGGTTTCAGTCGGTGAACTTGCTCGTTGCGCGACCACGTAATTTTCTTAGATATCTCCTTGCTCGGTCGTGTAATCGTTTCTGAAAATCCAACTGTTTTGCTCGTCTCTTCGGACTACTGTTACCCGTTACGTACTCGATTAAAATGATAATGAAACGTCTCGTTCGACCGGCGCGGAGTTGCGCCATTTTTTTCTCTCTCTTTTCTCCTCCTTCTTTCTTTCTTTCTTTCTTTCTTTCTTTCTTTTTTTTTTATCGTTTTCCTTTCCCCCCTCCCCCGATGATCGCGTCATTAACGAACCAGCGTTGCACGGTGTGCACGTCGCATTCGTACTCGTTTACATTCGACTCGCAATCGCTGCATTAAGATTACGTTACATTTATAGCAGAGGTGTAAATGACTCGTGTCAAGATTCAATCCCCCCGCCCCTCCCCCCTCTCTCTTTCCCTCCCCTCCTTTAATCACGAGCGAGTACGCACTCTCGTTGATATTTACGATTCGATCTCGTCCAATCGTTACGTTGGATTCATTTTTAATCGATGCAATTAATCGAAGCGTCGTCGAAACTTTTTCGAACGCGCAAAATCCTTGATCCCTTTGATTCTGGAAAAATCGAATCGTCCCACGACGGTGATGTCTGCTACCACGCCAGTTCCACCATTCGATCGACCCCCACGCGCGAATCGTAAAAACCTGTGAAAGTGGGCATAATTCACTTCCGAACAACGATATTCGCTTTCGAAAAAATTTCGTTTCGAGTGGATGGCGTCGCGCATTTTTTTTTTCTTTTTTCCCTCTTTTCTCTCTTTCTTTCTTTCCTTCCCGCGCGAAAATCGCCAAGTGTAACGCGCGAAAGCGGCCAAGTTTCGCCGAGACCGAACAAGCCACAGTCTCGGAAAACCCGTGTCTCGGGGCCGG